TCAGCAACATCTTGCGTATATATCAGGTATTGCGCGCTTCTTCTTGACTGTAAATACAAGAAGACAAGTTAAAAAGGAACATCAATTTTATGTGTATTTCGCGACCTCTGACTTACAAGCGATTGGAGATTAAAAGAAAGGGGCTGTATTATCTATATTTTAAAATTAAAGAATTAAAAATTCTAGAAAAATTAAAGATTAATCTACGTTGTATCTAAAAGGGGTCACAAAAAATTTGACATTGATTCAAAATTCGGATAAAAAATTATTCCACTTTGCAGTATAAGTACAGCAGATATAATGATGTCAAATGACACTTTAATAATGCAGTTTTACTTTAGTAATGACGTTTATAACGTTAATAATATATCATCTGATGTTATTCTGTTACTTGATAGTATTTTAAACTACGCAGTTATGGAAATGTATAATGTTGTTGTCTTTAGTGAAGGAAAAAATAATTTAAAAATAATGAAAAGAATCTCAATTTTTGACCGAAAAGTTTGTGTAAAATTAATAAATACAGTTGATATTTCATCTACTGTTGCTGTTATCCGCTTTTCCATTGGAGTTTTGGCTCTCATTTGCCTAAAAATTTTGTCTTATTGATTGTATATATCTAAGAGAGTCCACTTCAATAATTTGTAATTTCTCAATTTTTGTATACATGTACTTTAAGTATTCAAAATAATGTACGCAAAGTTTTATTGTTTAGAGATAAAGTTTAAAAGTCAGAAATAATATAAAGTAAATAAATTTTAATAACGTGATGTTAAAGTAAAAATAAATAAGTAGTTATTCAATACGTATCGTATATATGTGTGTATGTGTGTGTGTGTGTATGTGTGTATTATATATCTTTTTTTAAGGAAAATAAAAATTTTTTATTTTCAGTGTCTTTTTTCAAGGACTATACAGGTATAATATATTTCGAAGAGACATTTTGACAAAGATTTTGCAAAAAGTTTAACTCAATCAAATTTTCTGTTTCCATTAAATTATCTCCCGTCATATTGATACACATCTCCCATACAATATCTTTCATTGGACGTTCAATAGTATCGCCCCACATTGTAGCGTATATATATCGATAATAGATATCGATCTTCTGTAGACCCTTGTAATTTGCACAATTACACTGTTCTCAGCGTTACATCACTATTGGCTCACTTCACTGTCCATAATCTACCGATTCTCTCTTCGAGTTCTGAAGGTTGAGCAAGAAGCAAGTTGGAAAACAGGGAAATCGTCTTCAGTCAGTAGGACGCAATTTCGTAGCATTAATATTGCAACGGCGTCAACCGCGGGCGGTCGACGGTGCATTGAGAATTTTAGCTTTCTTTTTCTCAGACAGCCAACCTTGTATATTCGGGCCGTGCTGAGAGAAGCGAAATTGCACGCCAAAATTTGTATTTCCCGCGAGGTACGAAAGTTCGCTCGGTGAACGACGTGCCGCTGAAGGAAACGTAAGGAACCACAAAAAATTTGACAATTCTAGGTTAATTTTGTGTAACTCCAATCCCGAGTCGAAATTTAAGATCTGTTTTCGACCTGTATTTTCTAACCTCTGTAGATTGTGAAAAATCGATGTAGGCTTAAACATATAAGGAAATTTTAGTCCTACTTAACCTATAAGTGCCTATAAGTGGCAGAAAACGCACAAAATACTATTTGCAGGTTCTAAAGAGGATCTTCATAAAACCTTCTAAAACTCTCCAGAGTCTTTCAATCTAACCTATTCATTTCATCACATTCCCTCGCGACATTAGTCTGTTTTGTAATTGCATTGCTGGACTGTGCAATAAGTTGAAATGAGACAAGTATACATTTTCTCACTCCAATTTATTGCATCAGTTCAGCACTGCAGCTACAGAAAACAGATCTATTACATATATGATACAAGAGTATCTTAAAAACACTAACAATTAATACAAATTTTTCATGTATCAACTGTATCCATTTTATTATTCCTTTGGGTCCTTGAATTTACCTTAACAACTTCACTTAAGAGAAAACGAATTTCATTAAATGATGTTACATTCGATATCAAACGATAGAAAATAAAAAATTCACATTTTACTTAGTTTTAGAATTAATAATATCTTTAACTTTTACATCTTGTATATCTGATTGTCCAATAAGATCGTGCTATTTTCAATATTTAAAAAGTTTTTATTTTCTCAAAAAGAATAAACAAATTTATCAATAATCTATTCATCATCGTGACTCAACTTCTTCCCAACATTCGATAAGTTTGTCTATACAGAGAGAACGGTTTCTTTGGATTTAGTATTTCTACTTATTTAACTTATTGGATTTATTGGACTCAAACATAACATAATTTTATATTAAATATTATTTCTTTCATTAGACTAAACAATGTTGTTTGATGAAATAAAAATATTATTATTGTTATATTATTTAAAAAACAAATTTGATTTTCGAGTAAATAATATATGTAAACATTATATTGGTTAATTCAAACAATAAATTTGAATAAAAAACGAATGTTTAAAAAAATTTTTTCAAGCAAATAACGCGATTTGATTCAATGAAACAAAATTTAAAATGTAACTAAATAATATTGTTTGGTTACATTTTAAATTTTGTTTCATTGAATTAAATCGTGTTATTTGCTCGAAAAAATTCTTTTAAACGTTCGTTTTTCATTCAAATCTATTGTTAGAATTAATGTAAATATAATGTTTAATAAAAAATTCAAAAGTAATTATGGCATCACTAGTTCGCTAATGTACATTCTGTCAATATCCGTTATGTATCAACTGTTGCATTGTTTACAGTAATTACCAGTAATTATGGCAATATTTACCTTCATAGCTATTATGGATACATTACAAGCATAATGCTACATATCAGAACTAGTTGGTATTACTAATTTCTATACGATCGTTGAAGAAATCGTCGAACGACTCAAAGTGGTCAGTATAAAGGATGGATGTCTGCATCACGGGATGATGAAGCATCTAGATGAAAATTCACGAGTGAGAGAGAGCACACACGATGAAGTAACGAAAAGACAGACTACATCATTAATGCAAAAAAAGGAATGCCAAATTTCTTAAGATTATTTAAACAATATTATATCGAACTCCTTTAGTGAGATGAGAAAATTAAGTGAAACAATGTTCTTCTTTGAAACAAACAATTAATTATTTGATCCAAATAGTGAAATTATTTGAGAAGCCAAATAATCGCATTTGTTAAATAAAAATTGATTTATTTGGACTATTCTCTAATAGATAAATATATTTTGAATTTAATAAAGTTGATTAAACCCTAAGAAACTGTTCTCTCTATGAATATCGTTTTTGAAGGAACAGATAGTTAACCTTCTACTGTCCACTGTGACTCTGAAGTTTCATCATTCTTTATCTCCAATATGAATATTGTTCCTGTCTTGACTGATGTGAAACACAATATAGCTATTTCTTTTTGTAAGTTAGCAGCATGGCAAAGGTCCAATGTGACCTCAGAATCACAAACTTATTTTGAGAAAATAAAAAATTAGAAAAGTAAAATTTCACCTTATATGTGTTGAGTACTTTAATTTTAAATATCCTATGTATATGAAATAATTAATTTTAAACATAATTTTAAATATAAGTATTTTAAACATAAGAAATTAATTTAGATAGTAGGGGGTTAAACAAAAACTATCATAAGATATAGATAAGTAAAAACGGCAATTATTGAACTTATTGAGCAACTTGGCACTTATATATATATATATATATATATATATATATATATATATATATATATATATATATATATATAT